CGCCCTTCTGTATTTTACCTGAAGGGGGACATGAGGGAAACAGTTACCCTTTTGGCATCACCTTTGGATTAAAACATGATCGGGGGGAAAATACTGAAGAGGAAGCTGAAAGAGGTCCCCTTGAGTGGGCTTTGTTTACAACGTCGTATCTTTCATAAAAGAAACAAATCCAGAACTAACATCACTGGCAGTGTACCAACAGAACTCCATTTTACCAACATCAGGGGAATGACTTTAGCTTGGCCCTGTCCAGTTCTGGGCATCCATGACCGAGCTGCTGAGGTGAGGAAAACCCTGGCCAGTGCTGTTGTTAGTGCCACCGTAGCACATCTTCAACACAAAGAGTGTGAGCTTACAGCTGTTTTATATCAGCTCAGAGGGCATTCTACCTACAATTAATGTCTCTGTGAGGCAAGGTAAAAGATATTGCCTACTGTAGATTATAGGCAATTAGGGAGGAAAGTTAATGACATGGGCATGCTTTCAGGGAAATCAAATATTTAGATGTAGGATGTGTTTTCAGTTGTAGTACATGTAAGTTATTTCAGAGTTTAGGCTTAATGGAAATCGCCATTTAAGCTGAGAAACATGGATGAAAAGAAAAACTGGCCATCTTTCCACATCCTTTCTCGTAAATAAGAAATCAGCAGAGCAAGTTGTGACTGGGGAGATGTGGTCAAGATTTCAGGATTTGGGTCTGGCATACTGGATTGTGACCCGTGTGAATGGAGTGACAGAGAAAAGGCTTTTCAAAGGCAAACGGCATTCAGACCGAGGCAACAAAGAGAGGATTTCATAACAGAAAGGAAGAGGAGCTGTTTTGGTGGGATAGATTTGCAAATGTGCCTCTCACCTACAAAATGCAGCAGTTGAAAGGCTGTTAACCAAGCTTCAGGAATGGCTGCAGCCTGAATAAAAGTCATATCACTGGGGACTGGCATCAGGTGGCCTTCGGGTACTGTAACGTATTGTGCCTGGCCACCTCCGGAGAGCAGAGCCATCACTGCATCGCCCATCTTCCAGCGGCCCTTGCAGCCAGGTCCCAGCCCAGCCACGCGCCCAGCTGCTTCTAAGCCTAAAATATCACTCGCTCCTTTGGGGGGAGGGTACTTCCCTCTCCTCTAAAAGAGAAGAAAAGAGAGGGCAAGGGAAGGAGAAGCCACACATCAGTGAGCGTAATGACCCGCAGTATTTTGTTCACGTGCCTCCAACCTAAATTCCTATTATTTAATCCTGATTTTGTGCTGTGCAAATATTCCAGTTAATCGAGGATCTTTATACTCTGGCAACAATTCTTGTTTCCTAAGTATATTTTATTCTTAAAACAGCGTACATGTTCAATTTGTTGCAAGTCTCCTTTGTCCAGGCCAGTCCATGTTGGGGAGGTGTTATGGTCTGCAGTTGCAGAGTGTGGCTTTCAGCTCAAATTAAAGCAGCTCAGATATAACAATCTGAATGTGATTTTCCCAGGCTGGAATTGATCCAGTGGAACATTTCACATTCATCTCAAATGTTCTCTGTTAGCCCAGAGAACGGTCTGAGCACCTAGAAAGACCAAAGCTCCAGTTTTACATCCTCTCTTGAGAGGGAGCTGCCTTTCCATGCTACCCCAGCATTGCAGTGACCCAGATAAAAACATTTGTCTGCTGAATCAACAGACATCTCTTCTTTCAGCCCTATGAACATTCCCTTCGAAGACTCCCATCCAAATGCTCACCAGGCCCAATCTCTTTTAACTCTTCAGATTTGTCAAGACTTCAGATAGGGGCTTGAAAAATTGGTGTCGTTTTCAGGTGCATAAATCTGCTTCACATTCACATACCTGGAGTAAATCGGCCCTATTCAGAGCGCTGGCAGAGACCTTCACAAGAACTTCTCCTTCTCCTGGATGTGGTTTCATCACTTCTTTCACGTAGAGATTTTCTGGGCCTCCTGGGCAATCAAAATGGGCTGCCAACATTTTCTCTGAAAGAAAACAAACAAACAAACAAAAAACCCAGCATGAGTGCAGACACAAGCAAGATCCCCTGGCATCAAGTCATAACCCTGCACAGGGCCATATGTGCATCCAGCAGCACTGAGCACCCACTCGCCATAACTTTAAAAGGTAGCACGCAAATGAAAATAGCATCCTTTGCTCTCAACTTCCAGCATGATTAGGGCTCCAGTGCTCAACTGACTAAAGGACACAGACCCTTAAAATAGTAGGCACGAAAGGGATTTTAAATTTCTCAGCAGAAAGAGCCTTTATTTGACACATCTAAAACCATGTAAGGGCTGCCTTACGATTCAGCCCGTAGAGGGCAACTGGAAGATAGGCAAAGGCACAGTGGTGAGTTAGTGTGAGTGAAAGATGGTTTTAAAAACTGTTTTTTTAAATGGCAAATGGTTTTTAAAATCCCTATTTATTTCCCTTGCCTGAGCAAGTGATTCCTGTGTGCCTGATTCACTATGGTAGAGAGTCCCGCTGCTGCAGGACTCCTTAACTAACTCCTCCAGCGCTGTTCCTGGGTTCCTCAGTTTTGGCACCAGCAACTTTTGAGAAGCGCTGAGATATCAAACCTCCTCCCACCTATGAAAACTAAATCTGGAGCAGTCTTCCTTCTGCCCCCTGGGTACTGGGTGGAAGGAGATGAGGAAAGAATCATAACAGGAACGACTGTGTTATTTCCCAAGAGCTGGTAATATACTGAATACTGTTTAGGGATGCCAGCCAAAAACATGTGCTCTGCAAGCCAGAGCCTCTTTGAGTAAACACCACCGTGTGACAGCCCACTATGCCTTCCATAAAATCACTTCATTCTGATATTTGCTCATTAAAGACTAACTGCATACTTACTTGTATGGAGAATGATAAAAGCATTCAAGGACTGTAAATCCCCACAGGGTGGTGCTCTATGGCCATTTACAGTGACTAAACACTTCCAATTATTCGTATAAAATGCAACTTAAAGTCTTTTCTTTCTGAGGCTGTCTGTTGTTTTCAGCTGAACCATTTAATCCAGCCACACAAAATTTGTATTGGCACAGAAATTTAATGGGAAGCCCATCAGATACCACCCCCCTTCTGCTCTCTTAATCTGTCCAAATTAAGTCAATTAAAAATAAGATGTGAAGGAAGTGTTTATCCCTCTTCCAACACAGTTCACGAGACTGCATTTTTATAAAGGCTTTTCTTTGTCACTAGCAGCAGACTCACAAAAATATAAGAAGAACTACCGTGAGAATCCAAATACCTTGCTTTCAAATGCACAGAAAACCACGGGAGTTGAAACTCAAGTTTCCAACTAAATGCAGCAACTTCAAACTGTCAGATCTACGGGCAGTGGCCCAAAACAACAATTTAAAGAAGTGATTCCTGGGCACAGTGTGTGACTGACCTTTTTCCTGTAATGAAGGGAGGACGTTTTCCACACCAGGACTGAGCCCAGCCTGTCCTCGGATGGAGTCTGATCCCAGTTCCTCCCCCAGAACAGAGTCTGGTCCCAGCTCCTCCTCTCCCAGCTGTGCCCTTGCCATTGGCCATTCTCCACCAATTCAAGGGGTGGAACAGGATGAGGTTGTGTTTTCCTTTGGAGAGACAGATGTGAGCAGTCAGAAATATTGGCACATTTCACTCCTATTTCTACCTGTGGACCTAGTTTATTCCACAGATTGAGCCCTAATTGTACTGTCCCCTTTGGCACTGAGGTGGAGATTCACTGCTCCCCCCAGCACACGGGGAGGTTTGGTGCAGTGCCTTCCCTGTGCAGATCACTGGATACGTGCATAGTTGGATGTTCTGGGGCAGAGCCCAGAACTACTGCTTTCATTTCTGAACTCTGAGTAGCGCTGACCAGATTTACTTAAATCTCCTGAAAGGCACATGAGCTGTGGCAGTCCTTTTGCTATGTATCCACCCGGGGAGGCTTTCTTGTGCTCTTGTTCCTGTAAGGCAGCAGTGTGCAGTTTACTGGTTCATGTCTGTCAGCACCGTGCATTTCTACTTGGTGTTTCAGCTCCCTGATCTCACCTCTTTGTTGAGCTTTACCATTTCCTCGAGAAGGATCTGATCATGCCTTTGTCCATGTCCTAGTCACCAGCTCTTGAGTATTTGAGAGTTGTCAGGGAATAAAACCAACACTTCAGAGTATTTAAAAATGATAAACCGTGTGTCTGTCCATGTGTGGGATTCTTCTGTGGATTTTTTTCCTATTGATTTTGAGATTTTTGGATTCAGGCTTTGAAAGTCTTCTTCTAAACAAATTTAGAAACAAATGTAGCTAAAAATTATTTTGCTCTTACATGTCTCCAAGAGTTAGTAATTTATTTGTTTCTTCAGATAAGATCATGGAGCCTGGTCTTCTTACGCCTGCTCTTCACCTGGTGATACAGGCAGAGCTCCAGCTGTCCCTGTACAGTAATGGGTTCACTCAAATGTGGAGTCTTTGATGTCTTACAGTACACACAGTCTGATCCAGGTCTGGTAATGATGTCCCTCCCTCCCAGTCCTCACAGAACTTTGCAATCTACCACAGTTTAAAATAACTTGATGTAGCACTCAATGACAGTGCAAACTGACATGTTAAGAATGTGTTTTATTTGTAATATTGAAAGATGTACAGGACAATCTGAAATCTGTTAAGGTAACAATTTCCTTAGTCCCTTGGGTCTGTGATGCTACTCAAGCTATTAGAGAACTTATGTTGCTTAGTGAGCTTAATAATTTTCTTATCTGGACACAGGCTAAAAGACAACATTAGAAAGATGAAGCAGAGCATCTTAAACCAAATCTTGAAGTCATCACTTTCAGTTCAGTTAAGATACTTAGATGATAGATGCATAGAGTAGTCCTCTTAGGAGCAGCCCTGGAGTGTTCTTGGAAAAAGAGAAGGAAACTTAGCAGTCACAATGTTGCAAAGCAGCAGTTTCATGCTTAAATTGGATAATGCTTCAAACTCCTGTACTTTATTTCCTCATTAGCAGTCCTGAGGTTGATGAAGTTCAAGTTTTCTGCTGTTTCAGCTACCTTTCTCTCTAAAGAAGTCTGCTGTAATAACACAAGGAAATTAAATTTAAAAACAAACCCACTCAAAACAAAAACACAATGAGAAAAATCATATACAGAACTGCTGCAGTGGAGATGCTTTTTTTTTAAGTTCAAGTCCACCTAAGACTATATTGTACTCGAAATAAGACAGCAATATTTCTAGCTGAAAATTAAAAATACTAATACCTTCATTCATGAGGTATTGTGTGTTCTAAAGAATAAACACTGAGCCCTTCAAACCTAAATTGTTTTCAGAAATCTCTGGTAACACGCAAGAAAAAGCTACTTTGTTTTCTTTTTGCAAAGAAATCATCTAGAACAGCAAGAATAAACTCCAGAAAATACACATTGACAAAACTGCTGCAAATCTGGCCCTGGAAACACCTTAGACTGTATTCAGGAACAGTGGCCAATTATGGACAATGGGATTCTTTGCAAGACCACATAACTTGTGTGCAAATTGTTACAGGATTTTGCAAGTGCTGGCATTTTTTGCCATCTCTCAACAATGTCTGCTCCTCCCATGGCAGCAAAGCAGCTACTATCAACTGTCATACGGCTCCTGAATTTGTTTCTGAGCCAGATGGGCAGACCTGGGGCTAAAAACCACAATGGCAGCTTTTGGATCTGCTCCAGCTCCATATGTAGTACTGCAGAAAAAACACTAGGATAGAGCTAGTGGGGAATTAGCTTAAAATATAAGGCCCAACTCTTAGATTTATTCTCATTAACTGCTGCCCTAGAAGGAGACAATCCCTTGAAAACACCCCTTACCTGGCAAGACCATTCTGGTTTGGTAGTATTTCACACCCATTTTGACCAGTGATTTAAAACTCTAACTGATGCTCTCAGTAGACTTAACCCAGTGGACGTCCTTGAGGTTACTGCTTGAAGCTGTTTGTCCTTACCTTATGGCAAATGTTACCAGGATGGGAAATCTCTCTGTTCATCAATTCATAGCCCAGCACATAAATGTTCCCCAAAAATCGTATTATTTGAAGTTAATGTGCTGGCCATACAAAGATCTATAATACCTAATATCTAACAGATTCATCACAGCTCTTAAATATGTCAGGGATCAGGCAAAATCACATCTGAAGCACAAGATAAGCAAGGCAGTGCAGTGCTGGTACAATGGTTTTGTGCTCAACTTGCTATGGGACACTGACAAAAACAATGGCCAAGGACATAACTTAAAGCAGCCTGAGGTCACTCTGAGAGTTGAAGATGAAATGAACATAGGAAGGATCCAAAAAACATGGGCAATCCACTTCCCTCTTCTCCTGACCTGTCTGCAGTCAGATGTGTTTTGGTTAAACAAAGTTCAGGGGCCAAGAATCAGGCTTCCATGAGTCCAGAAGGCAAGTATGGTTTAAAACCTGCATTAGAGCCTCTAAAACCCTGTTCTTGACCGTAGCTTTTTGAACTGTAAAAGCCTTTTGAAAAAGGTCTGATAAAAATTTGTTACTGAGAGTCTTAGAGCTCATTCCAGCCTAAATAGCTTATGCTCCAAAACACAAATTAGCTCCACGACTTTTAGGCACCTAAGTGAGGAACAAAAACTAGGAGCATAGTGGGCCTACAATTTCATTCCTATTTAGTGAAAGAAGATGGGCATACACGTAGATTAAGTTGGAGATCATTGCTTTACAAAATATTCTTTAGAAACATCCTTGAAATTACTTAGAAATTCCTTAGAATTACCCCTCCCGTGAAAACCAAGGCTATTCTGGGAATCTACTCTTGTGCATTTTACCTATTTGGATTATGTGATAAAACGATTGTGTCCTTGATATGGAGTCAGCCATACATCAGATGTGTAACTCTGTTCTTCATCTCCCAAACCAAGGACAATAAGAGTGATTAATCCTTCCCAGTACCTCACACAAAGGGAAAACTACATTTGAGATTATATCAGGATTCTGCAGCTGGTCTGCAAAGGGCTGGGTTTTGCAATATTCCCAAATGGGAAACAAAGAGCTGGATGTCTTTAAAACATTGAGCCCTAGAGAGAGAAACTTAAGAGGACTCACACAAAGGAAGCAGGCAGGAGAGGGAAGGAAACGGGCACTCTGGTTACAGAAGAGGTGCTTTGCTACTGTGAGAGAAGAAAATTCAATGTCTCGAGATTCACGTGTAGAAAAAGAGACTCCAGCTTTCTTCTAGGGACTAGGCTTTCTAGAGGGAGTTTAAGTGGACTGTGAAGCAGAGTATCACAGCTGATGCTCTGCAAAAGTCTGCTTAAGACCTCAGCATTAGGCATTGAGGTCAAGAAAATGTGACTGCCAGGTCTCATTTTGCTGAGGGGTAGCTAAAAGAAAACTAGTGCCAGAACAGCCGAGGAAAGAGTCTGGGAAGCTGTTCATACCCACGGAGGCTTTGGAGCACACTGGGATGTGATACCTGGAGAAGGTTTAGCTGTGGAGCCATAATGATGCGTGTGTTCAGTTTCCCAGATTTTTGGGATTTGGCGGTTTGTCAGGTGAATTTCTGAACCTGTTTGCAAGGGTGGAGCTAATCGGTGAGATAACAGCACGCAGGCACACAGGTACAGGATTTCTCTTACCTAGTTTCTCCACAGCTTCCACGCACACACTGGGATACATGCCTGCTCGATAAGTAGCAACCAGGATGAAAGTCAGTGTCTTCACAACTATCAGGCCTCCATGTGGCTGCATAATACAGAAAATTGGTATAAGGTTACAAGGCTCTAAAAATGCACATAGGTATACAGATTGCCTTACAATTTGGGCCAATTACAGGCATTTTATTTGCCAATATAGCTGTTTTCTTGGGGGAAAAAAGGCAAATACTGTCTTACAGACTAAGCTAGGACACAAACAGGGACAGTGCATGTCCTGAAGTCTGCTGACTATTAAAGCAAGTCAGTCAAATGCTTCATTATATTGCCTATTCTCATTTCCATTATTGCACAGCGTTTTGAAGAAGTGTTATCCTAGTGCTCAATGTCATATACAAAGGCACTGATAAATGCAAATAAAATAACTGATATTTACATGAAGGCGTGCCCAGTGTTTAGTGAACCCTGCCTCCCAAACTCTGCCTCACCAATTTGTAATGAGGAACGGAAAACGACATTGCAAAGGACTGCATTTTTCTGAATCCGGATACAAATCTAAGAGCTACTCAGCTTCTTCTGCAAGTTGCTTAGCGCATTTCAGGATGGATTTACTGCGAAGAGAAAGAATTAAGAAGACCTCAGTAACACCTCATTGGATGTATTTACTTCACATTGTGTGACTTGGCAGTAGTAACAAAATTCTGCCATCTCGAGGACAGCTGCCTGCAGCTGTGTTCTCCATTTCTGTATTTCACAGGTGAAGTGCTATGGCTGGAGTCCCACAAGGTGAAGTAAGCTGTCACACAAGGTCCTGCTCATCCCTGTCTCTCCCCCAAACCAGTTACCTGCTCCTGCTACCTTATTCTGGCCTGTGGGCTTGCCAGGCCCTCCTGTTACCTGATTGATTCATTAATGTGGCAAGAACCAACCCAGCAAAAATCCGAAGTGATAGTTTTTTCCCACATTGGGGAAATGAACTGATTCAAAGGAGATTGTGACAAGCCCTGCAGCTGGTGGTAAGGAACTCAATGGTGTTACCCATGAAATGTGTATTACACAGCTGGCACTATTTTGTATTCTGCACTGATTTCAAACCGGGACACACACCTACTGGGAAGAGAAGATGTGGACAGGAAGACAGGAAGACAGATGGAAAGGAAGGGAAGAAGGGAAGGGAAGGGAAGGGAAGGGAAGGGAAGGGAAGGGAAGGGAAGGGAAGGGAAGGGAGGAGACAAGCATGT